TCCCACACACCTGCATGAAGGTGCCTGTCTGCTGCTTTATGGCGTTCACTGTGGACCCGTTCCTCCCAACAGCAGCCCCCGTCACGGCGTCGGGGAGCAGGAACTTAAACTGGAATGGGGAGTCGTTCACAGACAGAGAACGAGGCCCTTGGTAGCCCTCGTCCCTGTGGGGTGACAGGGCATGCCTTCGCTCAGCCAGCAACACATGCCACTGACTTATTTCACTATATTCAGCAAATGGAAGCCGCTGGAATGCCCGGTCCATGGCGGCATGCCGAGATTTCGACCAGCCACTCTCCGGGCTACCCACCTGTGGGCCGGGGTGTGGTAGGACGCCGCGCCATGGGCATCCACATGCGCTGCCGATGCCCGCACGCGGATGGGGGGTGGGGGTGTGCTCGTCTTCTGAACTCCGGCACCCTGGGGGTTGGTGGGTCGGTACAGGTTGCCCGGGCCCCGGGCGGACGACGGCCCGGAGCCCCGAGCCTGGAAGCCAGACCCTGAGGGGGGCTTACTGACGGTGAGTAAGCCCTGCATGACGAATGCAAGCGAAATCCAGGATCCCAAGGCCTGATGAAACTGCGGCACCCGGGGGTGGCATGAAAGGCCTAGCAGGTTCGGGGTGGGTAGGTTCGACATTCCTGAGGCGTGAGGCGCGCGATGCGATGCTGAGTCATCACAAACGCGGTCACATCACCCGGGATCATCACGCACGTTTCGTTCCAAGGAGTTACGTTAGGATATCGTTGGTGGGTGATTTCGAGACACATTTAAACAGGCAGTATCTGCAGCAGAAGCCTGATCAACTATCCAGTCAAGTTGCAGAGACAACCCAACACCGTGGTCTGGCACGCAACCGAAGACGAGCATCCCAGCGGAAGCACCAAGGCAATGTAATCTATAATCCATTGTCGGTTCTCCAAACATCCACCACAGATGCCTCCGTCACCGCAAGTGCTGGAGTGCCATCACCCGGCTCGAGATCACTTCCGGGACTGCATTCGGAGTCTTTTCTGTGCCCACCAAATGCAAAAAGAGATGTTGCGCCTAATATTTTCGGACGGTTTGTGGCGAATCTTTGCTCGTCCGGCGCACAGGGCTTCCGCCGAGAGGGGCTTGTGAAGAGGCTGGCCCGACGCTGCAGGGGTCCAGGGAGACAGAGAGTTGTAATGCTGCATATCGCAGGCTGGGTTGACGCTCAAATCTACATATATGCCGACTCGGTGTGAAGATTGAGGGGCGGTCGGGGTGCTGCCGTTCTCACCATCAAGATGATGCCTCTTTGGCGGGAGGCTTCGGTTCCTGCAGGTGTCGACAGCAGATGAAAACGGTGATGTGTAACGCTTGGATCAGGACCAGGGCATCGCTCCACGCTCATGAACTTATCATCCGTCCGAGATTTAAACTGCCATTGATTCTCTCGACGTTGCTGCGAACTGGAGCGACGACAGTGCGTCAGGATCACGGTCGACACTACCGTGCAACCCGGTCCACCCGCACAAGCTCACGGCACACACCTCCCTGTGCCGATGTCGAAACTGAGCGCCAGCGCCAAGAGGATCCAGAAGGAGCTGGCGGAGATCAGTCTGGACCCCCCCTGCAATTGCTCCGCCGGGCCCAAGGGCGACAACCTGTATGAGTGGGTGTCCACCATCATGGGTCCCTCAGGTATGGCAGCCCGGACGGGGCGGCAGGCGCAGACGATTTCTGTGATTATAGTATCAGGACTGGAGATTTGACACCGGCTGCTCAGCTCCTCAGGCGCCCAGACATGGGGTGGCATCACCAGCAAGTCGACGCCCAACTTCATCCACAGGGTCTCCATACAGCGGCGGCCTGTACTTCCTAGACATCCACTTCCCCGCCGACTACCCCTTTCGTCCCCCCAAGGTGTGCTGTAATGGTGGGTTGCATGGCGCCCCGGCCCGCATCCAGCCTGTTGTTGTGTAGAATCATGCTTGCAAGAGTCCTGAATTGTACCCCGTGCGGCGGGCCTTCACCCAGCCGCCATGTACCCATCCTACGCGCAGGTCACCTTCCGCACCCGCATCTACCACTGCAACATCAATAGCAACGGGCAGATCTGCCTGGATATCCTGAAGGAACAGTGGAGCCCCGCGCTGACGGTGTCCAAGGTCCTGCTCTCCATCTGCTCCCTGCTCACAGATCCCAACCCCAGTACGTGTATGCCGGGTGGAGAATGCTTTGAAGGAGGTTCAGGTGGCACCGTGTGCCCATTCCCCCGTGTGCACCCTTTCCTGAGAGGCACTGGGATATACCAGATGGAGGCATCCCCTTCACAAACTTTGAACCCACAACCCTGCCTCAGGTGACCCGCTGGTGGCCAGCATAGCCAAGCAGTTGCAGACGGATAGGGAAGCTCATGACAAGACGGCAGCGGAGTGGACTCGGCGGTATGCGCAGGGCTGACGGCCTCCTGGTAAGCGGGGTTGCAGTGGACGCCGCCCCGGCACGCTCATGCATGGAAGCATCCTGCAAGCGCCAGGCCCTGGGCAGGCTTGCTGCGGGGCCCGCTGGCTGTCAGACGCGCATTGCTCCGAGCAGACAACGTGGGAGGTGGGGGTTGGGCATCACGATACAGCGCTGGCAGGGCGAGTGGTGGCAGAGGCGTGCGGCTGAAACTGGACACCCAGCAGGTGGCGTGCTCTGAGAAGCAGAAGGCGGGTCCCCCGCAACCCTGCACGGACCCCTCCACAGCTCCTTGGCATACACTCTAGCCCAACCGAGAAGAGGTTGGGGGGGGGGGGTGTCACCACTCGTAGCGGGGGCTCCAGCTCCCATTGCGCAGCTCGACGCCCCGCGGCAGCACCGCGCCCGCGTGCCACTGCACCTCGGTCGGCGCGTCGGGGTGCTGGCTCCGCTGGCGCTGCGACAGCTCGCCGCGCATGTTGACCTCCGGCGCGGCCGGCCCCTCCGTGAACTTGAGCCAGCAGTCGCCGAAGGAGTGCTTGTGGATGTCGGGCTCCCAGCACCCACCCTCCGCCGCACACCACACAAACGCGTTGCAGGGCAGCTCATCCAGGTGCCCTGGGAATGCGAAAAAGCGCAGGAGGTGTGTCACGGCAGTGGCATCATCAGTGCGGAGTATGGTGCGCAGCGCTGCGCAGTCGTCATGGCCGCTCGTGCACGCTTTGCAGAGCCCCCGCCCCGGACATTTGAGGAGCCTCTCCTCCTCAATCTTTCCCCCCAAACAAAATCCACATCACCACCAGCACACACCCGACTGCGGCACGGGCTCGTGGGTGAGGCAGGCGTGGGCGCACGCCTCCACGCTGGGCTGCGTGTGGCCGATGCCCCAGCGCACGGCCATGCCGTCGTAGTCGGCGCGCCGCTCGATGTGCACGCGCATGGACGCCGTCACCGCCGCCGGCCCCAGCTCGGCGCGCGCCTCGCGCCACCAGCGCGCGACGGGGGAGGCGAGCAGGCAGGACTCCTGCACGTTGGCATACTGGTCGGTGGCGGGGGAGCCGCATACCCGCGCCTCATGGACCAGCTGCAGGGCTGCAGCGGCACCTATGGGGACATGCTGGGCTGATCCTGGATGGGGGGAGGCGGCAAGAGTGTCGATGTCGGGACCAGGCTGTCAAATGGATACTTTGCGCAGACTGGCGGGGCTCAGTCTCCACCGCATGGGGGGTGGTGGAGGGCGCCAAGGTGCCTGGTCTTCACCTGCATCCCAAGGTCTGAAGACCACGACGAGTATGGCCAAGAGGGCCAGCAGGAGGATGCCAGCGGCGCCAGACCTCTGGCGCGAGCTGTTCAGCTTGATGGCTGCCATGCGATGGGGTTACGGTGTACCACAGGGCCGGGGGAAGTGGTTCGAGTCGAGGCCTGAATTCGAGCACCAGCTGACAATGGGTCCCTGACGTATGTCATCACATGCTTCGGATGTAAAATTCCAGCTGAGAAAGCTGCGATACATGTCGCGCAGATGCTCTGAGCGTGTCATACTCAGGTGTTCCCGTGCCAGCTGTGGTTTCCGTGCGCGCCAATATTTCCACCGGCACATCCGCGCTCGCTTTCCTCATGCAACACATGTAGCATCACATGTTAATTCACTGTAATGCCGAATGCTGTCTCTGAGTAAAGGAGTGATTACAGGGCCTGGAGGTCGATCCAGACGGAGCTAGGCAGGATGAAATTGGGTGCACCATGAGCATCGATAGGCCGTCATGAAGAGCTTTCTCGCTGGGGGGCACCCAATCTCTGTTTCTCTGTGGGGGGCAGAGACTGCCCCTCAGCTCTTGGACCTGCCTCTCCAGAGGGTACACCGTTGGACTTGTCAGCAGCACCGTTCTGCAGCATCGGCCCCGCCAAAGCGCATTCTTCGGGCAACGGGGCCGCCGCACCCTCCGGCTCTGGCGGTGGCCCCTCAGAGGGTGCGGGGGCCCCCCCCCGCCACATCAGTAGAAACGCCAGTCGTCGCCGGCTCACACGATGTGGCAGGGGCCTGGCCATCCCGTGCCGCCGCATCAGCCGGCGCGGCGGCTCCGGCGCCGGTCGCTGCTGGGGCGGCAGCCTCGCCGCCCGGCGTCCCTGGCAGGGCAGCCCCGGCGCCCGCGCCGCCGTGCCGCGCCTTCCTGGGCGGCACCCCCGCCCCGATGCCGACGTCGGGCCACACCGGGGTCGCGCCCTCGCCCGCCCCCCGTCCCGCCGCGCGCACGAAGCTGGCCAGCTGGCGCAGCGTCAGCGCGTCCAGCGCCGCCAGGTCAAAACCGATGCCGTCGGCGGGCTGCAGGCCCGGGCAGCGGTGCAGCACCAGTCCCAGCGCGGCCTCGAATCCGGGCTGGGACAGCGTGCCCAGCGCGTCGCACAGCGCCTCCTTCTCCGCGCGGGGCATGGTGGGGCAGGCCGCCGCCGCCGCGCTCTTGGCGTCGGCGATCGCGGCCGCTGCCGCGTCCAGCCGCCGCAGCAGCGCCGCCTCGGCCGCCGGGCCGGCCCCGCCGCCAAGGGCGGCGGGGGCCGGGCCCAGCAGCTCACGCCGCGCGGCCTCCTCCTCGCGTCGCGACGCGGCCTCCGCGTCCGCAATGCGCGGGACCACGTACGCCACGTACTTTTCGTCAAACCGCTCCTACAGGAGGATAGATGGAGGATAGGGTGGTCGTGGTGGATTGAAACAACGGCCGGGCAGGCGCATGATTCTGGCCTGCCGCATCGCCCAGACCCCTGCCAGGCCCAATCTCTTCAGCGTCACCAGGCCCCTCTCGGGTACACCCCCCACCACAACCACCTCCCCTGCCCTCGGGCTGCCCATGCTCAACCCAGGGACACGTCTCCCAATTCATAACCCCCACCCACCCACCAGCAGAGTATCGGCCATGACGTGGACGTCCGACCCCGGCGGATTGTAGGCCCGCGCGTTGTTGAACACCAGGCGCACGTCCGCCACAAAGGCGTCGGGGTGCGCGTAGGCGCCGCCCTCCAGGCTGGCGCGCACCGCGCCAAAGTCCATGGGCCGCGCGATGCGATCCCGGTAGTCGCGGTACACGGCCACGTCGACGGGCGCGAGGAAGGGCCAGCACCACTTGTGGGCGGTGACGCCGGCCAGCACCTTCTTGCAGTGGGTGGACACGATGTCGCGCATGCGCCGGGAGGCGGCCGCCTCCAGCGCGGTGCGGCGCCCGGGGGGGAGGGCCGAGGCCGGGGGGAGGGGGATCTGGGGGTCGCCCCGCAGGCGCAGGGCCTCCCACGCCACGGCCTCAACCTCCTGCGCCACGTCCTCCACCCGGCGTCGCACGTCCCAGCACCGCCTCAGGTGCTCCGCCTCGGCATGCTGCGCCCGGCGACGCTTGCGGGCCTCCTCCCGCTCCGCTTGGACGTGGCGTGGCACAGCATCGGCCCGGGGCTCGGTGGTGGCCGACTCAGCCATGGCCATGGCCGCAGGGGAGGTATCTCTACCTCTTGGGGTCTTTCTGGTGACAACTTAGGCTCCAAACTTCGGAGCGGTGATGAACAAGAGGCCGGACGGGGGACTCCGTACCTTCGATTGAGCAGGGCTGGGTCTCGCACCTTCCCGTTTTCGAATGCAGTGGAAGGTTTGAGCTCCAAACAGATTTCAAAGTCCAGGTGCAGCCCTGCCGTTGCCTCTGTCAGCAACCGCACCAGTAGAATCACTCCGCAACTCTATGTCGCGCCCTGGCGGGGGCAGCAGGGACGTCGCGCCTCAGGCCTGGGGCTCGACCTCATGCGGGGAAGCGTTTGCCCCAATAGGGCCCCAGAATGGTCAGGTTCTACCTTTTGTGCAATTAAAAGGTGCTCGAAGCGCTCCCTATGCGTTGCGAGACCAGGTGAAGCTCCACTCGTTGCCGTCGGCGCGCTCTGCGTCCACCCATGCCCCGGCATCTCCACACATGCCGCGCATCGGCCAGGGCGAGATCCGAGGCTTGATTTTCTGTCGCAAGCCTCCTAGTGCTGCTTTGAATTGCTCCTAGAGAGTCGTTTCGGCCATGCCTAAGAAAGGTGGGCTGCTGGCTTACGGAAGGGCGCTCAGCACCCTGCCGCCCCTGTGCATCCGACCTGCACTTGCTAACTCGCCCGCCATGCCGTGCACAGATGCCAAGGAGTCGGGGGAGGAGCTGCTGCTGCAGTTCGTGCAAGAGGCCCTGGTCCTGAAGTCCAGTGGAGGGCGCACCGGCCTCTATGACCAGTGAGTTGCGCAGGCCCCATGCCCATGCTCGAGCGTGATGAGCCAGCACGCGGCGGATTCCCTGGTCACCTCCCTTCTCCAACCGCGCCCCCCGCCCCCCCCCCCGCAGGCTGGTGACGGAGGTGCGGCGCCTGAAGCTGGCGGCGGGGGCCGGCGATCCCGACGCCGGCGTTGCGCTGCTGGGCGTGCTGCGCCCGCTGACCGGCAGCGTCTCCTGCGTCAGCACCTCGGCGCACGAGGCGCTGCTGCGCGAGGCGCTGGACCTGCCGCTCTGGCGCGTCGCGCCCGAGGTTCGCGCCGCGGCGCTGGACCTGGTGCTGCACCTGGCGGCGGCCGTGGGCGCGGCAGTGCAGCCCTGCCTGCAGACGCTGGTGCACGGACTCCTGCCGCCGCCGGGTCCCCCCGCGCCAGACACCCTGGGCCAGGCCTGGGCCCCTGCGCCGGGGTCCCTCCAGATCCAGGACGAGGTCATCGAGACGCTGGGCAAGGTGGGGTGGGTGGATGGGATGGGTGGCCAGTTCTGGGGGAGGGGCCTGCCGGCGTGGTGTCTTTGGGGCCCAAGTCGGAAGGGTTTGAGTGAAGCTTGGAATACCAGGGGAGGGTGCCTGCCGTGGGGTGCGCCGCCTGCCCAGAACCAGGGCCCCCCCATCATAATTACGACCAAGGAAACTTGGCATACCTGTGCGGCACCGCACTGCTGCCTCTTCCACCCAGCCTGACTCATCCCCAACCCCCCCTCCCCACCAGGTGCTGGTGCTCGTCCCCACGGCGGCCCCCCGTGTCCTCCCTCTCCTCACCGAGGGCTTCCCCCACGTCCTGCGAGACCGCGCCGTGCACTGCCTCTACGTCCGCGCCCTCCTGCGCATCAGCGAGGGCCCCGCCGGAGGGTTGGTGCGCGAGGCGCTGCTGGCCGCAGTGGTCCAGCATCTTCTGTCCCTGGACGTCGAGATACGGTGTGCGGGCGGGGCGATGTCGTGCGCATGGGTGGGGGCGAGGGTGGTGCCATGGCACGGCGGCTGCTCGTCGGGGGCTCATCTGCATCTCCGCGCCACAGGGTGCATCTCCGCTCCCCGCTGCCCTTGAGCACGTCGCGGAGGCGCTCTGCCCCCTGGAGCAGCCTCGCATGGTTTGCCCTGCTCCGCACTCATCACCCAACCCCCTGCCCTGCCCCTTCCAGATGGGAGGACATCGTGGATGTGATGACGGAGGAGGCACGAGAGGAGGAGGGCGGCGGCGTGTCAGAGGAGGAGGTGGACATGTTTGAGCTGGAAGGTGGGAGATTGGTTGGGGGCGGCGCGTCGGCCTGGCATGCTGCCTCTCCAGAGGTTGCCTGTGCATTCCTGGTATGGGCTCCAGAGGTAAATGCCTCGCCCACGCCGTCCCACCCTGCTCCCGCTCAGGCATGACCGCCCAAGAGGCCGAGATGGGGGGCAGGAACGCCCTCCCAGGGTCGAGGGGCGGCTGGGAAGGCGGCGCCGCCCTCGCCCCTGGCCTGAGGCGCCAGGTGTGTAGTGTGATGGTGGTGTTGCAGAGGACTGTGTGGAAGGCAGGGGAGTTGGCATGGCATTCCCATGCCCTCTTTCTAGACTTGCCTGGATGCCCCATGATTAAGTGCCCCTCGCACTCACCACTCACCCGTCCTGCGATTTGGGGTCAGTGAACAGGGGTTGTCCATGCCTCCGCCAATCGTCCCCCACATCTCACCACCGACCACCCTCACCCGACCCAGGACTCGAGCGCGTCGGCACGGCGCCTGACCTCAAACGGGCAGCCGCTGCGCGCCGTGAACGAGATGGCGGACAAGCTGGACTCGTTGATGGAGCTGGTGCTAGAACACCTAGCCGCGCGCGCGGCCAGCGGCGGCCTCCCTGCCGCATTCCGCACGCTGCTCGCCGTGTTCGAGCGCCGCATCCTCCACGCCCACCGCTCCAAGTTCGTGCAGTTCGTGGTGTTCGCCGCGGCGGCGCGCGACGCGCGCGCCTCGGGCGGCGCCGCGGGGCAGCTGCTGGACTCCCTGCTGGGCACGCTGGGCGATGAGGGCGCTGCAGGCATCACCCGCACCGCAGCCGCGGCCTACACCGCCTCCTTCCTCGCCAGGCGCGCTGGTGGTCTGAGGGGAATTGTGATACATGACAGACTACCCTTGGCCAAGCGCTTTGGCGGGGGGAGTGGATGCCGCAAACTTGCGGCGGCGAGCGCTGCAGGGGAGTTTGAAATGGCACTGCATACATGCGACCTGGCCTCACTCTGGCATCGCACGGGCTGCCCTTGGCCCTCCCCACGTGCATGGCAACACCCCAGAATCAGCCAGCCAACCAAGGATACTACTCCTCCCCTCCCCTGCGCAGGGCGCGCTTCCTGCCCGAGTCACAGGTGGTGGCGGCGCTGACGCGCATGCTGGCTTGGGCGCAGCAGTACGCCGCCTCCAGCAGGCATGCCGGCCTCCCCCGCATCCCCTCCGGCAGCGTCTTCCAGGGTGGGTGCGAGGCGTGTGGTTTTTTAGGGTAGGTGGGGACTGGGGGCCGTTTCAGTGCTGGCATCCTGCTAGTACTGGGAGCACCCGAAAGACCAAGAGGGACACGGATCTCGCAGATACTATACTGCTACTCGTTTGTGACTGCGCTCGATGGGCCTGGCGTCCTGAGCGGCGGTTGTTTGATGGTGTGCAAGATGCATCGATGCATGCTGCCATCCGTCCTCATCACCCCCCCCCCCCTCCCGCACCCCCTCCTTCCTCGCCCTCGCAGCGGCCGACGCGGCGGAGGTGACGCACGCCGCCTTCCACGCCGCGGTGCAGGGCGCTCTGTACGTGCTGTGCTACCACCTGGACGTGCTGGTGGGCAGCTTCCGCGCGGCCGCCCCCGCGCTGGGGGCCGCGCTGCGCCTGAACCCCGGCGCCCCCGCCGCCTCCCCGGGCCCCGCCCCCGCCTCGGACCCCGGCGAACAGCTGGCCTGGGTGCTGGACGCAGCGCTGCCGGCGCTGCTGGCGCACCCGCTGGACCCGCTCTCCTCCTGCGCGCGGTCGGTGAGCGCCGAGTTCGGGCGCCAGGCGCGGCGGCTGCGCCTCCGAGCCCTGGCTGCCGCGGTGTCGGCCTGGGACGCGCGCGCCGCCGCCGCGCGTCTCGTACACCGTCCCCTGGAGGTCTTCTTCCCCTTCGACCCCTACCTCCTGGCGCGCTCGGCGCAGCTCCTGGACCTGGACTCCACCTTCCTGGCCTGGCGCCGGGGACAGGGTGCCGACCGGGTGGCGGGCGACTCGGGGGACGAGGAGGGCGTGGAGGATCAGGTGTGGTGGTGGCGTGTGTGTGGGGGTTGGGTGTCTGGGGAATGCACTGCTGTTGGTTATGGATAAAGGATGCAGCTCTGGGGGGTGATCATCAAGGAATGAGGACACCTGTGCACTTGTGCCTGGTGGGTACGCCCTGTGGGCCCGATGCAGGGATCGGGCCCCATGCGGTGGGTGGAGAGGGCGTGGGCGCCGGCTGACAAACCCTTCAACATTGAAGAGCTCTTCCTGCGCCCGACCAAAAGACAAGCCACCCGCTTTCCTGATCCTCACACCCTCCAGGAGATCGACTCCGACGCCTGCACCAGCGACTCTGGGTCGGAGTCGGAGTCGGACTCCGACTCCTCGTCCACCTCGGACGCCTCCTCGTCCGACAGCGGCGCGGATGAGGATGACCCCAAACGCACCCGCTTCGGCTCCCTGCCCTTGTCCTCCGGCGCGTCCGGGGAGCAGCGGTGGGAGCCCATAAAGTTTGTGCGGCGGCCTCGGGCCGGCCCGCCAGCTCAGCACCCCAGCAACCTGCCCGCCGCTTCCCCCGTCCTCTCCGGCGCCATGCTGGGGTCCAGCGCGGAAGCGGCGCCCGGCGCGTTTGTCGCCGGCGCGTCCATGAGCAGCGACGGCGGGTTCGGGTCCCTGCCGGCCACCGAGCGCGGCGCAGCCTGGGCGGCCCTGCGCTGGCCCAGGGATGGGCCGGTGCCCATGTCCTGCACCCCGGGCACCTGACGCTGAAAACTTGAGGGTCAGGTGGCAAGTGGCCTGCCGCCGGTCAAAGTGAGCCCCGCAGCCATGTAACAATATGGCACAGACATTTGGTCAACGCCATCGAAATGTCACGGTGGGGGGTGGTACTTGACGCTGTGGCTCCTGGCCTGGAGCTCATGCGCCCCTTGGTTGCGGCCACGCGCAGACCGCGCGTGGCAGTATCCCGGTCGAACTTCGGATCGCACGGATGACATTTAGTTTCCAGATCCAACGAGTTCAGTCTTTCATTTTGTTCGTTCTTTCGACATGTAAATCCTATGCGTTAGATTGCGTGGGTGTCCCCGCCCCAGGCGCCAGCTATGAGGGAGGCATGGGAGAGGTGGGGCATCGACAGAATGCATGCTCAACCCTCGTTTCAAACTTTAGGACCCAAGCGGCATCGATGCGGGCGCACATCCATTACAAATTGAAATAGTTGTATGGAGCTTCCATCACCAGACCGATCGCGAGGAGCGTGTCAGCTCTGCCGCGACAGCTCCTTCACGACACCCACCTGTCTCCTTTCCCATGGCGCACAGGCATTGCAGACATGCACAGGGAGGGAAATGGGCAATACCCAATATTACAAGACACCATTATAAAACCCAGGGTGGATCCTACTTGTCTCGCAGTACGGGAGTGGGATGAGTCCGCAGAATCTGACCAGCTCCCGAAAATGTGCGAACCATCACGTAGCCCGCGGGCGCGCACCGTTGTCTTAATACGAGCACGAACTCTGAGTGTCACAGCCACAAGCACGCCATAGATTCATTGGATATTTCGCACCAAAATGCTCGGTCTACGAGGGCCTCTCGCCCTCTTGATCCCTGCTGTTCTCCTGGGCCTGCTCTTCCTGCCCGGGCAGGGTCCTGAACCCGCAGCGAATCCCCCCCCGGTGCACATCGATCTTCGCAGGGAGAAAGAGGCGATCCAGTCCCTTTCCGATGCGATCCGCTGCCCCACGGTGGGGAGCGAGACCGCCTCCAACCACATTTCCAATCCCGGACCCTTCCAGCGGTTGCACGAGACTCTCGAGACCCACTACCCCGCCCTGTGGCGCACGCTGACGGTGGAGAAGGTACATGGAGGCTGAACAGGTTGTAGTCCTGGACAAGGTGGCGCAAGGCATGCAGGGTTTGGTGGGATGGGATGAAGGGGTCTGGAGGGTCTGGGGACGGCCTCGATGCTTGGCTCGGGGGGGTGGCGCCTTGGGATGCTGGACTGGTGCAGCGAGTGTCCCAGGCACACTGCAGTTGGACGAGAGCTGCCAAGCGCCCAACCCCCGCCCCCTTGATCGTTCATGAGACCGCCATGCACAGGGTGCGACATACCCCCTTCCCACGCTCGCTCACTGCTGCCATGCGTCCCACACCCTCCCCACCTCCCTCCCCACCACCCCAGGTCAGCACCTACTCCCTGCTCTTCACCTGGCCCGGGTCCGACCCTTCCCTTCGCCCCGTCATGCTGTACAGCCATCAGGACGTCGTCCCCGCCCCCCCCACCAACTGGACCCACCCCCCCTTCTCCGGCGCGGTCGAGGGCGGCTTCGTCTGGGGCCGCGGCACCCTGGACACCAAGGGGTCCCTGGTCGCGATCCTGGAGGCGCTGGAGCAGCTGCGTGGGAGCGGCTGGCGCCCGCTGCGCACCGTGCTGTTCGTGGCAGGGCACGACGAGGAGGTGGGCGGCGGCGAGGGCGCCGGCCGCGTGGCGGCGCTGCTGGCCGCGCGCCATGGCGCCCTGGAGCTGCTGCTGGACGAGGGCGGATTCGTGCTGGGGGACGGGCTGGGCGCGGGCGCCGGCGCCCTGCTGCCGCCGCTGCGCGTCGCGGTGCTGGGCCTGGCGGAGAAGGGCACCGCCACCTGGGACCTGGGGGTGGAGGGCCGGGGCGGGCACAGCAGCCTGGCGCCGCCCGCGGGGACGACCACCACGGCCCTCACCGCGCGCCTGGTGGCCGCGTTGGACGCGCAGCGGCTGCCCAGCCGGCTGCAGTCGCCCACGCTGGACTTCTTGAAGGCCCTGGCCCCCTACGCCAAGGCCCGGCCGCTGGGCCTGCTGCTCAGCCACGCCGGCCACCCGGTGCGCAGGGGTTCTGCGAGCGTCTGCGGGGCTTGGCTGTCGGTTTTTCTTGCCCGGGTGGGGGACACGTCCCCCCACCCACCTGCTCCCACGACCCACCGCCTCACAGGTCCTGTCGCCCCTGCTGGCCCGCCTGATGTCCGGGAGCACGGTGCTGAACTCCATGGTACAGACCGTGAGGGGCGTGGTGGGTGTTGTGACCGGGGGCCTGGCGCACAACGTGCTCCCCACCCACGGCAACGTCACCGTCAACTTCCGCACCCTGCAAGGTGTGCCAGCGGGGGGAAGGGGGGGGGGAGGGAGGGTTACAGGGGAGTGCAAAGCTGCAAGTGGGAGGTTTGATGTTCTCTGCTGCCCACCGCGGCCGTCCCTTCCCTGCCAACATTCTGCCCTAGAAGTCATGCTCCATCCCAATCTCATCGACCACCCACCCCATCCCGCCCACCTCCATCCCTCCAGGGGACGGCGAGGCGGAGGTCGCCGCCTACCTGGACCAGGTGTCCCGCCCCCTGGGCAAGCACGTGACCAGGACGCAGCGTCCCGGCACACGGGCGCCCTCCCAGGTGACCCCGGCGCACGGCCCCCGCTTCGACCTGGTGCGGCGCGCGGTGCTGGAGACGCTGGCGGCCCCGCGCGGCGCTGGGGACGCGGAGGCGGAGGCGTCGCCCCCGCTGCCGCTCATTGTGGTGCCATATCTCGTGTCCGGTGCCACCGACAGCCGCCACTTCCAGGGGCTGGCGGCGGGGAGGACTTTCCGCTTCGAGCCCTTTGCGCTGGACAACTCGGACGTCCCCCGCATCCACGGCGTGGATGAGCGCATAGCCATTCCTACTTTCCTGGACGGCATCCGCTTCTACACCCGCTTCATCCAGCTGTCGGCGGGGGAGGAGGGCCGTGCAATGTGACTCCGGGTGCCGCGGGGAGAGCGGCCGCTGTAGGTTGCGCACGGCTTCTGCCCCCCCGGGCTGAACAGGCAGCCGCACAGTGTGGGTGCGACACTGTGCACACAATCCCCTCTTCCTATCGCTCTACCATCCCTTCACCCCAAATTGCCCTCAATCCAAAGTACTCAGAAACCAAAAATTTCATCATGCCATGCCATAAAATTTTGTGAGGCAGCAAGATGCAATCAGCAAGAGGGATACTTTCGTCAAGTGCTGACAGAAATGTGCAAGGACACTCGACAGAGGAAGATCTATGGATTCAGGGATGCACAAGGAAGCATTGGGAGCAGTTGGAGGAGGATGGCACAGCCTGGCTCATGGGGGGCCGCACCCTTGCAATGAATTCTCAAGACCTCGTCTCGGCCCGCGCACATTCCGCTTAGGATGCTGCCTCCTCATCTTGGCCACCAGCTTTAGCTCTAGACTCATCGGTCGGTGCTTTGGTTGGAGCTGCGTCGTCTGACTGCAGGACTTCGCTGGTACCTGAGGTTTCGGAGCTGACAAGCCCCCCCGTAACCTCCTTTGCAAGTTCTCGCAGCTCGCTGGAGTCAAATTTGGGGAGTTGATCCGACATTGGAGAACGAATGCGTGTGATTGGGGCCAGATCCGAATTATTGGTGCTGGGGAGTGGGTTAACCAGGCGAGTTACGCTCCAGGAGTCCCAGATTGGCCAACCCGGGACAATACTAATCGCTCACTCAGGTGCCACTCAAGCCAAATACCATGTTTCAGCAAGATGTGCAAATGCGAAAAATTGTCTGATGGGGATCCGAGAGGCCCCCGTGCGGCGGGGGCCATTGGCGCCCCTTCGGGAGACCCCGTCGTGGCCAGTAGGGATACGAACGCATCGCAAGAGGCATTTTTGATTTGTTAATACCATATGAATCTAAGAGTATCGAATACAGAGCGATAGAACGCCGTCACCACACATCGGTCGTGCCCGGGTGGCTCCTGGTGGCCCAGGGGCCTCCCCCATCCTTAGCTCTTAAAGGGGCCAGATACCCCCCTTCTCATGCACTGCCCTTCTGGATGCTGGTCCAGTCGTTTACTTACATGGGATCCACACCAGGTGCAAAGTCATCTTGTCCCTCATTTGCTTGCTGAAACAGTTCGCCGCCTCTTGCCGCCTCCCCTCTCAAGGTGGGAGCGGATGCGGCGTGCTTTGCACCTGACGTGCCGCTCGTAGGGAATGGTCTCAGCCGACCAAGCGGGCAGTACAGGCAGATCAGCTTCGACAAGGTACTTGCAGAGTGCATCGCGCTCCTCCTGCGCCCCCTTCTCCAAGACTAGAAGAATCCGTGCCGACAGCCGGGTGTATTTCTCGTCGACCTCTGGATCGCTCTCAGGTGAAGGCGCCGGGTTGTCCGGGATGCTCAGCAGTGGTGGAACATTGCTGCTACTGTCCACAGGGCGTGGGCTAGTGGCACTGTACAGTCCTTCAGTGTCAGGCTCCTTGGACGTTGTGACCTGGTCGGGGGTGATCCCAAGTGACGGGTCTGCCACTGGCACCGGCTCCTTGCCGCGCCTCCTGCTGGTGCCGGCCTTGGATGCCACGGTGTTGCCTGTGTCAGTGCGTGGATGGTTGGTTGCTTCAATGGCTTGTTGTGGGTGGGTAGCATCGGAATGACCGTTGGGCATGGGGATGCAAGCTCGGATGGCATTCTGCTGGCACAGCAACACCATGCACATCTCGCAGCTCACCCCTCTTTGCTGCAGCCGGCTTGTCCTCCTGCACAGGTGCCAACATGCGGTCGAGACCACCTTCAAAGAAAACCAGCTTGGAGCCCAGAAACACTGGAGGTGGTGGTCGGCAAGTTCAATCAGCCCCTCGTTTTCATGCTGGACGACGGTATAGTCTGAACGCCGAGCCTGGACCGCCTTCATCAGGCTTGTGGCTGCGTCTGGGTCCAGCATCCTTGGATTGGACTTCTTGGACCGGTGAATGTCCTGCGATGGAGAGCGCATACATGTGGGACTACAGTGGGGCACCAAGGTGCAGGTGATTGCCACCAAGGTGCAGGTGATTGGCACCGAGCGACCCTGCCTTGCAGCTCACGCGATCTCCTTGTTGGTGATCGAGCAATCCCTTTGGTGCAGATTTGGGTGGTGTTGCTGGAAGGCCAAGTGGTCGGTCACAGTGGTGTAGACGGCCAAACTTATCCCTGCCTTGCGCAGCTTCTCGCACTGAGGCAACGATGCTGGGATTGCGAAAGGCCGGGTTGATGGCCAGCAGAGCCTCCACGAGGTCAACAGCCCGCTGGGACAGGCGCAGACAGTGGAAAGTGGCGTCACTGTGGCGCGAATGCCCAATGTCTGGGTAGAAGACAATGCTCTTCTTGGAGTCTTGCCTCAGCTGCTTCATTGTAAATGTATGCTGGCAGCCGGTCTTCTCAGAGCGGCGGCGCAACTGGCTCGTCCGCACCTCGCGCTGGCTGGCGACGCCCTTTTCGTCAGCTACTTTGGCTTTATGGGACCAGGGGCGCACCTGTATTACTTGACTGACAACCAGTGCTGTGTATATTACGAAGAGCTGGGACTGGGTGCAGCGGAAAGGGACAGGCTGCATACTCATCACACGAGGCCATCCGATAGAGAGTTACGCTCTAGAAGTCCCAGATCGCGCGGGATATGAATTAGTAAGAACCCGACGACAGATCGCCGACCCCCCTCCCCCAAACTGTTTGTTCACATCTAAAAATCTCAAATCAGTTGCAAACAATGCGCACTGTGCCCCCGCTACTCGAACCCTCGGAGGGCCCTTTCACCACGGCCGACATAGTGGCCGCCAAGGCCACAGTCCACGGTACCTACTACAATGAGCCCTTGACGCAGGCAACCATTCCTACGGAGCGCTTGTATGACTTCCTGCACGGCGAGGGCCGCATGTTCCTAACGTCCTTCCATCGGAAGGCCCACCCCGCAACCCAGGTACAATTCGAATCACCTCCAACGGAAGGCCCGTGTGATGAGCATGCAGCCCGTCCCTTTCCCGCTGCACTCACTCCTGGCGCTTCATATCACACACATGACTGGTTGTCAGTCGAGTACCACAGGTGCAACCGTGGTCCGGGCACACCTGAGTGGGTAGAGAATGACAGAGCCAGCCAGCGGGAGGGGCAGACGGGCCAGACGAGCCTCCGCACCAAGAAGACCGGCTGCCAGCAAAAATTTACGATCAAGCAGCTGAGGCAAGACTCCAAGAAGAGCATTGTCTTCTACCCTGACATCGGGCATTTGGGCCACAGCTAGAACACTACCCAGTGTTTGCGTCTGTCCCAGTGGGCTGTTGACCTCGTGGAGTCGCTGCTGGACATCAACCCGGTCTTTTGCAACCCCAGCATCGTTGCCTGTGCATACAGTGTCATTCTCTGGGGCCTGTGTCACGACACCCCTGTCGCTCCAAATGTACCAACCTCCTCGCGCAAGCCCCTCTTCCTGCAGGTGCCCGACCCATAAGACAGCGAGCACAGAGGTGCTCCTGTCGCGGGTCGCTTGGATCGTGCCCACCTTGCGACAGGGCCTGTCCTGGCACAGGGACAGGAAGCCATTTTGAAAGCTGCGCCACCAGGCCTACGTCGCCAGGGAGCGGGCCATCAACCGGCTGACAGAGCAGTTCCGCCCCCCCCCTGGAATGACCACTATCGTGGGCGTGGGCAACTGGTCGGCCCAGGACCGGGGGGGCATCATGCGGGGGGCTCCGTCGGGGCCCTGGATACGCTTCTTGCGGCGGGTGTGCAGGGTGGTGGTGGTTGACGAGCACAGGTCATCAAAGCTGTGCTGCGCCTGTCACACCACCCTGCACGCCCACCGGCACAAGCGGGTCTGCAATGGCGTGGAGACGTGGACGGAACTGTGGGACACGAAGCGGTGTGTCAACACGGCATGCAAGGTCAACGTTGTCAACCGCGACGTGAATAGAGCGGTGAACATCCTGATGCTGACCAAGTGCTTTATTGAGAATGCACCTCGTCCCACAGCTTTAGGTGGACCCCTGCTTCCCCTTCCATTCCCCTCGCCCCCTACCCCCCTGGTTCGCCGATTGAGGCAACCACCTGCGCCAGCGACATCCCGTCCTCGGGAATAAGCTGCTAGCAACCGGCGCAAGCCCGGTAGAGGGGGGAAGGGTATTCCGTGCTTTCCCGGGTGCCCCGTGCCCACATGGCCCCCCGAGGAGACAACTCTGGTACTCGTCGCAAATGCGGACGGTGTTACAAGTCATTAGGCAGGGAAGCATTGTGAAAGGGGGAAGGGAATTCGCCGCAAGTTGAGATGCAGGGCTTGGACGTGGCTTGGACGTGGTTGGCGGGTGTCCTGCCAGGATCTCAAGGGCATTGCCTGTGCCACTCTGTCCACAAAAAAGGGAAGAGGGCACTTCAGGGAGCCTCGAGCTCAAGCTCTATGACACCATTGCCCCCAAATGGAGCATCAAGTTCTGACCAGAAAGAGCAGCCTGAGGCCGGAGTTCCACCAGCGAAGGGCACCCAGGTCAGGATGGTCTTATTGCAGTGCATGGGAGGAATGCTGGGGTGATGGTGCTGATGAGGAAGCGTAGAGGCGTGTCAAAATATCATGTGGCTTGCATCCTGCCGGGCCGAAAGCTTGTTCAGGCCGCAGTCTCGTCCTCCTCCCCCCCTTCTTTCTCTTCGCCGGCATGCGGGGGGCTCCGTCGGGGGCCCTGGATACGCTTCTTGCGGCGGGTGTGCAGGGTGGTGGTGGTTGACGAGCACAGGTCATCAAAGCTGTGCTGCGCCTGTCACACCACCCTGCACGCCCACCGGCACAAGCGGGTCTGCAATGGCGTGGAGACGTGGACGGAACTGTGGGACACGAAGCGGTGTGTCAACACGGCATGCAAGGTCAACGTTGTCAACCGCGACGTGAATAGAGCGGTGAACATCCTGATGCTGACCAAGTGCTTTATTGAGAATGCACCTCGTCCCACAGCTTTAGGTGGACCCCTGCTTCCCCTTCCATTCCCCTCGCCCCCTACCCCCCTGGTTCGCCGATTGAGGCAACCACCTGCGCCAGCGACATCCCGTCCTCGGGAATAAGCTGCTAGCAACCGGCGCAAGCCCGGTAGAGGGGGGAAGGGTATTCCGTGCTTTCCCGGGTGCCCCGTGCCCACATGGCCCCCCGAGGAGACAACTCTGGTACTCGTCGCAAATGCGGACGGTGTTACAAGTCATTAGGCAGGGAAGCATTGTGAAAGGGGGAAGGGAATTCGCCGCAAGTTGAGATGCAGGGCTTGGACGTGGCTTGGACGTGGTTGGCGGGTGTCCTGCCAGGATCTCAAGGGCATTGCCTGTGCCACTCTGTCCACAAAAAAGGGAAGAGGGCACTTCAGGGAGCCTCGAGCTCAAGCTCTATGACACCATTGCCCCCAAATGGAGCATCAAGTTCTGACCAGAAAGAGCAGCCTGAGGCCGGAGTTCCACCAGCGAAGGGCACCCAGGTCAGGATGGTCTTATTGCAGTGCATGGGAGGAATGCTGGGGTGATGGTGCTGATGAGGAAGCGTAGAGGCGTGTCAAAATATCATGTGGCTTGCATCCTGCCGGGCCGAAAGCTTGTTCAGGCCGCAGTCTCGTCCTCCTCCCCCCCTTCTTTCTCTTCGCCGGGATTGTCGTGTGAAGCTCCATCAACTTGATCCTCGGAAAGTGGTGAGGCGGACACCTCGGAGTCGTCACTGGCACTCTCGGGGCTAGCGCAGGAGATGTCCCGTGCCAACTCGCGAAGCTCCCCAGAGCTGAACCGTAGTAGTGTGTCTGTCATAATAGCTGCTTTAATGATTTTTAGTGGAGGATAATGTGGAAAGTACTCTAAGAATGAGTAGATTTTGTTGTGGGGGATATACGGCACGCGCTGGAAAGGTGCCATCCGGAACGGATCTAGATGGAAGCTACGCAGAGAGGATGGAGGCTCATTAGACAAACGCTTCGACTCCAGCTATGTTACAGCACCCACGTCCCTTGCATTTGTCATGGATGTGCGCGGTGTATAAGCTCTGGATCATCTCCTAAGACCACACAACCATCACTCCTCAGCACACAGAGGCTTGGCGATCCTCCCTTTGACTGGGCCCATCTGGGCCAGGGGAGCACCTTCCTCATCCAGCAGCGATCGCAGGTACCCGTAGTCGGGCAGGTCCTTGGGCTGCAGGTGCAGGCAGTGCTCCAACCAGTCCTCCAAGAAAGCAGGCACTCCACCTGTGGCGTTGGGACGGGTGTAGGGCATGGGCATTCCCAAGCAAGCAGCGTTCCGCTTCTGGTTGCCGTCCTCGAGCTAAATCCCGCATTAGGCAGTATTGGCCCAGACACGCACCCTCTTGCATGGCGTTCTCCAGCAGGGACTCCCTGTTCTCAGCCATGGCGGCAAGCTCCTCCCGGGTCCAGCCGTTGGGGCCGCTGGTCCGTTCGGAGAGCATGTCGGGCAGCCCAGCCCTACGCGCTGGTGGGGACAGGGTCAGGGAAGGGCGTAGGAAGTCTGGGCGCATGCGCTCGTACAGGAGCTCCCCAGTGTGCTGGTCTGTTTCCGGCTCCCTCACCACGGCAGCTTCCCCATCCAGAGGTAGAGGAGGGTGTAGGCCAGGCTTTCCATGTCATCCCGTGGCCCGAGTTCGTTCTCGTAAAGACTGGCTGTGCTGGCGTAGTCGGGCGTGCCTGGGCAGGGAGATAGGGGGGGTGCGGGCAAGGTGAAACCAAGTACACCATGCGGGAGGGTGATGAAGCTGACCATGCGAATGCCTGCATCTCCTCTGCATGCTCATTGCCAAAGGATGCAAAGGGTCGCTTCTGAGCAAACACCAACCCGTTCCTTGATAGTATTCCCTGGCAAGGAGTACTCTGGTGAACCTGCAAAGGTTGGGCGAGGTGGGTCCTGTCCTGCCTGCCACTGCTGTGCCATGCCGAGGTCTATCAGGCGAACAGCAGGCTCCAGGTCCGGGACCCAGCCATGAGGCATCACCAGGTTCTGTGGATCGGAAGATCAGGGGAAGGGTCGTCAAGGAGGATGAGCAGGCTGCATATTAGTATAGTCCAAAGGGGGTAACAACACACAAGGAAAATCGTAGCCTAGGTCACCCAGACATCAATCCTGACCGCACCGGATCCGTACCACCCTTTCTCACACACCAGACTACTGACCTCTGGTTTCACATCTCTGTGGAGGTATCCACGGCCATGCAGCCACTGCAGAGCATCCAGGGCATGACTTCCCAGGGCTTTGACTTGTGGTGCAGCGATCACCCGGCGGCGGCGCAGGTCGTGGAGCGACGGCCCCAGCAGCTCCATGGTCATCCTAATAAGGTTTTACTAGGAGGCAGGCTTGGGTAGTGGGAGCAGGCAGAGCACGTGCTTCCAGTACACTGAGCTGGATACCCGCATTCACACAGCTACAGACGCTGTCAGGGACTTACCAGGGAGCAGTCCCAGTCGGGGCAGAGTGAAGACCAAACTGGAAAGCACGTGGGATCCACTTGCAGTGCTGCTTGTGTGTGAGGGCGACGTACACGTTCCACTCCGTCAGGAATGTCTGCCTGCCGTGTGCCAGAGGGGACGTTCTCTTCATTTGGCTGTGTAATAGGGGGAATCCCACAGCACCAAATGAACTTCACCCCTGCATGAAGTCGACACGATCGCAGCCAGGCTCTCCCACCAAGATCAGGCCCTCCACATCACTCACCATGTGAAGTCCCCAACCTCCATTGCGTTGCCTATCTTCATTGCCACAATGTGCCCGCTGGAATGCTCGGCCCTGTAGACTGTCCCGAGACCTCCTTCGCCCAGCGAGGTTTTCACCTCCAGGACATAGTCCTGGATGGTCCAAGTGTGCCCTGACGAGGTCGCAGAGGAGATCTCCAGACGGAATTGTCTGCCCTGGACCTGTGATCAGAAGCGTGGGGTCGAGGGGACACTGATTGCTGGATGCGTTGGACCGAGGTTTGGTGCGGGTCCGCTGCACACAGGTTCATGGCTGCCCACCTGGGGCAAGGGACCTCTCGACGCCTTTGCGACCTCATGACATTCGAGTGACTGCGCATAGGGATGGAAATAGGAACGATTTTGATGCACGGATGACCAGCACGGGCATGCAAGCATAACGGCTGCCACAACCCCCCGTGCCAGTACTTTACCGGGCAGGGTGGGGTGAGAAATACGATGGGACTGACAAGACCGTCGGCATGAGCCATGGGGCCATGCTCGCTGTGTGGCGTCGTGCAGCCCGATGTAGGTGTGGCATGCCTCATGACTCCAGTACCGGTGACACATTTCGTCAACTGCGGCAGAGGTGAATCCAACTGGTGTGACGTCCTTGTGTACATGACATTGATCTACCCTTCAACACCTGCTGGTTTGTCCTTCCAAGGATTAGGGCCCACGTCGATGTCATTGGGCCGCGATTGCCATCTCGCACCTGAGAGTCTTGGTCTGGCGTACACGGCCTAGCCCTCTTCTTCGCGCACCCTATGCTCTCGGCCATTGCCAGACCTGGATTGCACCCGTAATGGATTATCTGATATCGCTGCAAGAACCAATCAAAACCGACCGAGGGGCACGCGGGGGCCACTTACTGCTGGGAACCACCCCTGCCGACGCAACTCTGCGAGCACATTTCCGGCGATCGCCACATTTGGTGCTGGTGCCTACAGAGGATGCGCGAGGCAGCATTAGGGAGAACCTCAGCTTACAAGAAAATTTTGGTATGATTGTGAGGATTTGAGAGGAGAAAGAATGTCTCTATCGACATCCTTTAGAGCACACCGAAATTGTTAACTTTCTCCATGATGCCGGGGTCAGTGTGACAATCGCCCCCAGGCGGTCTGACATTGCGACACCATGCATTCTTGCATCCATCGGTCATGCGAATGAGCATGGCAATGATACCCAGAGGCGCTCTGTATTATTCGGCTGTGATCGTGTATTGAGCTCACCATGGCCTCGATGTACCATACCACCAGTGCTGCGGGGAGTGCGTGCCAGCACGCACCCTCGAGGGACCCCATGCCGCAGCTGCGCACTTCTCGTGCCGATGAGCTGCATGCTATGCTTCGACAGTACAAAACTCGCTACACATGCATTGGTGAGTCTACCAGGTGGCTGAACTGACCGTCATGACCTTCCGAACGTTGCACTTCAGTGCATCCTTTCCGTCTGTCGACGACGCATACCAGAGCAGGAGATAGGCAAGATCCAGGCTGCTCAGCGTGCTGCCATGGAGGTGCGCAGAGTATGCTGTGAGGATCACAAAGAATGTTTGCACGATCAGGGTTCGATCAGGAGCCCTGTTCCTGCAAGCTGCTATTCCCCTGTTGTTTACTATTCCCAGGAGAATCAACAGCAAAAATCTCGTAAGGAGGCACTTGACAGCGCCATTCGTAAGGCACGGGAGGAGGCGGTGGCAGTCGACGCCGACGTTGCCCATGCCGAGCAAGAACTTGCGACTGTCAAGGCAAGTTTGTGAATGCCGTGCACGTGTTCACTGACCTCCTTCCCCCACAGCATGCTCTTTAGTCACCATGCACACAAATAACAAGAGGGCATAGGGGGTCCCCACAGGCATCCATGGCAGACCTGGTGATCAAGGGCCGAGGCTTGAAGCAGGCGATGGATGGCGTCGAGAGTGCTTCATACCACGCCAGGTGAGTGTTGCTCTGCCGATGCCCCGATCTCCTCTTCACCAAGGTCCAACCAGAAAGAGAGCGCCCCAATGCCAACAACAGGGAGGAGTTTCTGGCAGCTTGCCAAGCCATGGAGCAGGAGATCAGGTGGCCAAAGGGTGGGAGAAGCTGGGCTCCAAACCGTGCATGACAACACTAAGAGCTATGGCAGGTGGCCCCCAAACGCTCATACCTCCACCCCCTGCGCAGATCACTGCATGACAGCCACCCAGGGTACTGGCTGACATCCTGAGGGCCTGCTCGGGTTCCCATCAACCAGCTCTCAGCAAGGCTTTGGGTGTACACACTGGTCCACATCAACAGAAGAAGGCAATTGACTGCGTCCATGATGCAGGGGCATCAACCATGAAATCTGGCGTTGGGGAAGTTGTCCTTGGCCTGCTTCAGCGTGGGGTTGTCCGACTGCCAGTAGTTGATGAGGGATGTGAAGCTGTTCAGCACCTCGATCACTTGCCTGTAGCATATAGAGAAGGGTGAGAGAGTTGAGACACTGAGAACCAAATGAAATCAATAAGATAGGGGGAGTTAAGACTCGAGGAACCGGGGTGGCTGGCATGCTCCCCAGGCCGAGGACGGGCATGCCCGGTCTTGTCCTGCGCCATCTCGACACCCTTCCCGGAGAACGTCAATCTTTTAAGAGCAGCACTTCTTCATGCAGCACCCTTGTTCTCGACGACGAATTCATCACGCCACTCACTCCTCTGGAATCCAGCTACTCTCGCCCTCCAGCGTCTCCTTCATCAGGTCCCAGGCCTCCTCCTTGGGCCAGAAGAAGTAGGGCGTCACAGGGCTACGCTGGCCCTGCAGAGAGAGGGGTGAAATCCATGCTGCGCGATGCTTCATGTCAAGATGTCATTCAGGAGCCCAAGATGCACCAAAGAGGTTAACATGAAGCAGGTTCGGGCCCTTTGCAAAGTCATGCAGCCGATGTACATGCTACCCATTGGCCTCTTCACCCTCCCTGCCAAGCCCCCCCCCAGGCAGCGTACGCTGAACAACTGATCCACTGCGACGCCAATCTGCTTGTCCATCCACAGCACATTCAAGGCGAATCTGTTGGACCTCTTGCGGACCGGAGCTGACGTGAGGCCGTCCGACGGCACGGATGGAGGAGCGCTGAGGGTCTCCCTCTCTTCCGCGACATCCTGTGGTGCAGGGAGGGCAGGCATCGATTGCTGTGTCACGGAGAGGTGCACCCCAGTGCCACACCGCCAGGTCCCTCCGGCCCCATCACCTGCTGCTGCTCCTCCACCGCAAGGTCTGCAGCCTCCACCCCACTCCCAGCATCTGCCGGTGCGTCCTGGACCTACAGGGAAGCAGTGCTGGTATGTCAACAGGTGTTATGGAGGTTACGCCATTCTCTTCTCAGATCACAGCCTGTCGCGTGACCCTCTCCACGGCTAGCACACCTCAGCCGCTGCGCGGGCGACAAAGGTGCTCCGTCGAGACTGAGGACGCAGGCTGCATGCAGGCCGGCATACTGCTCGGGAAACCGGCTTGCTGTGGACTCGAGGACGCTGTGGTGGAAGGAGCATGCAGAAGTTGAGCCGCACCGTCACACTTTGCCGCTGCACTGCTCCTACGGAGCCCGCCATCCTTGCCTGGGTGGTGAATGCCGCTGAGCGAGATGAAAGCACTTGGAGCTGCATATTGACGTCCGCCTGCAGCTAATCCAAACACTGTATAATCCCGCCCCCGACTCCAGTGGGTATTGGACACTGCATATGGAGGAAAACAGCGCGCTTACCTCCAAAAGCCTCATCCACTTGGCGGGGAGGAAAGCGAGCGGGAGAACGATCCAAAGAAAGCCGAGGTAAAAGGACCATGCGCCTGGCAGGTATCACACAGCCAAAATGATTGCATGCGGGGCTCTCAGCTCCCATGCATTCACGACAAGACCACTGAGGCATGGGGCCGACCTGGCGCGGGCTGGGCTCGTGAGGGGCGCCCCATCGGCTCGGTGTGTACGGCCTCATGGAGCACATGACAGGCACCCACCTCGGTCCAGCCTTCAGTCGTCCAGCTCGCGCGATCGTACCGGATCCAAGGCCTTAAAAACACTGCAAATCTCAGCCCAGGTACTGTGAATCTTGATGAATCGTGTGCCATTCGGTGCTGACCGTGCAAGGCTCATGCAGGCTCAACCTTATGGCTCCATTGCAGGGCACGGAGGCGGACGGGGCCAGGCCCCGCCGTCATGCCGCCTCCATCGTGATGCTCCTTGGCATGCTTGCTCTCAGCTCCTGGCACCCCGTGACAGCACTGGCTTCTCCTCTGGACTTGATCGCTTCCTCGCCCGCCGGCCCGGGGCCCCTCATACCAGGTACTGCATGTGCTTGCCAGGCTGCTGCCATGGTGGCCCTCCAGGAGGCCACCATTTCTGTGATACTGCGGGAAGGAACTGAATGTCTGTCCAGCCACTGCATGCCCGCCTTGGCTGCTGGCCATGGTACTTCTGTGGAGCACCTGCAAGATGTGCCCGTGTTTGCTGTGCATGCTGGTCCGCGACCCCAAGGAGTCTCCTCCCTCTCCCGAACTGGTTGCCCCTCATTCCCCAAACTCAAACCCTCGAACCCCGTCTCCCCCCCTCCACCTGACCCAGGCTTCCTGGGGGACAGCACGCTGCGCGAGGGGGCCGTCTCCGCCTTCTTCCTCATCTTCCTCTCCGAGCTGGGCGACAAGACCTTCTTCCTGGCCCTGCTCCTGGCCCTGCAGCTCCCCCGGGGCCTGGTTTTTGCCGGCACCTGGGGCGCCCTGGCCATCATGACCCTGCTCTCCGTGGGCCTGGGCCGGGCCCTGCACGTCGCGCAGGTGGTGGTGCCCAGCCTGCCCGGCGGCATCCCGCTGGACGACGGGCTGGCGGTGGTGCTGCTGGCCGCCTTTGGCGTGCAGGCGCTGCTCAGCGTGCCGGATGCCGACGAGGCGGTGGAGGACGAGCGGGCGGGGGCGGAGGGCCTGGTGGGAGGGCTGCTGGCCAAGAGCGGCAACGGCATAGGTGGGGTTTTTGGGGGGGGGTTATGGGGTGCCTGGTTGAAGGGGAAGGAGGGGATAGGTGGGTGGGACCCTGTTGGTTGCCCCTGTTTGAAAGGAGGGGGGGGGGCGAGTGAGTGGATGTTGGTGCTCACAGGCAGAAGACACCCCGTGTGTATCGTGGATGGGGTTCTGATACAGAGGCGGCCCGCTCAGAGAGTCTCGCCGCGCTACACTGAGGGCCCACCAACCCCTCATCGCCTCCCCCGCCCCTGGTCCCTGTTCCCAACTCACAGGGGGCTCGCTGGGCCTGGTGGCGTCCTGCTTCGCGCTGGTATTTGCCGCAGAGTGGGGCGACAAGTCCTTCCTGGCCACCATCGCCCTTTCGGCGGCCTCCGATCCCCTGGGTGTGAGGGGTGTTGGGAGAGGCGGGCAGGCGGTCCCTCTGCAACACTGGTGGGCGAGAGTGTGCCGTCCCTAAACGCTCTGCCAGGTTCTGATGCGCTGCATCATAGGGAGGTCATGTTAAAGCACTATGTGCCAACTCCCCAATCGCCCCCCCCCCCCTGGCTGAATCGGGTCTTGCCTGGAATCGGTGGGAGTGGGCGGCTGCCGAGGCGCGCCATCGCCGGGCAAGTCGACAACAGGCGCGTCGCCCTTCCTCTCCCGCAGGCCCCTACATCACCGACGTGGCGTCGAGCTACTCCCCCGACATGCTGCTGGGGGGCCGGCGGGGCGCGTCCGCCGTCGCGCAGCAGCGGCCGCCGGTTGCCGCGCACTGAGCTCGCGAGTGAGGGCAGCGGCCGGCTGCCTGCCCTGTTCACCCACGTACACAATTCCGTCTTCTCAGCCTGTGACGTCGATAAATAGACAACCCAGGGTCTGGCCACGCAGGCAGTCTCCGGAACACCCCCGCTCCCGCGCGCCATTCTACAGCGAGGGGCGTACGGGCGGGCCCGCGGCGGCGGCCGGGGCCGCGCCGTCGAGCCGACCGTGCTTCGCTATGCCTCCTTGGTACAGAAGGGGCACTTCCACGTCTTGGAGGCCTCGGCACGCTGCGCCGTCATGCCCACACACCTCCCGTCGAACCAGCGCCGGCAGTAGTCGCAGAAGATCCAGAAGTCGCCGTCCCTGGTTTCGTATGCATTTGGAGCCGCCGTTAGGTTGCCGCCATGTCGTGCAAGGCGACAGGCCCATGCCACTGCAGCTCTGCACCACACAGGAGCTCTGGGCAGGAGCACACCAGCCATGCCACACCCCTGGGCTCCCACACCACCCGCACCCACTTGAACTCTCGGCCGCAGTTGGGGCAGGGCTCGTACTCCGCTTCCTCTGCATCCTCCGACCCCGAGGACTCCTCGGCGGCCGATGAAGGGGGAGGCCCTTGTCGCGGCCGCCCCTGGTTGGCCTGGGGAGGAAGGGCGAAGACATTCTCGGAGCAGGCGGGGGGTCGTATAACTTCGGATAATGTATGCTATACGAAGTTAGTACGCATGTTGCAGGCGTCGTGCTGGGCGCGCTGGCTGGGCATGGCGCGGCCTCAGGCCTGGCCATCCTGGGGGGCAGCGCGCTGGGTGGGGTGGCCAACCCCCGCACCGTGCAGATAGTGAGCGGCGTCCTGTTCCTGGGCTTTGCAGCCAGCACGGCCTTCGACATTGCCACGGGGGCGCACGCCTCCATCCTGTGATTGCATTGCCGCGGCCCCACGCATGGGGACGGGCACCTGGCCGCTCAGACGTTGTGCTGGGGGCCCTCGAACCGCTCGATGAATATATTGAAGAACATTTAGGCCTGAATGGTAATATACTCATGACGGCAATACACATACATCGCGGGGGCATGAGGGGTTTGGTGCCCCTTAGGGGCATGGCCTGCGAGCATGGATTCCAGGGCGCCAGACCGGACCGCGCAAATTTGATGTCGCGCATGGAGCGATAAAGTGCAACGCACACACATCGAAAGGTCGATCAGAGCATGCAAACACGGTTCATAAACATCACCGAAGGCCTTCAAATCTCCAGCTTTCCCCTTCCCCTGACCTGGTGTCGGCACTCCCCATGTCGGGGGGAGGGCTTAGCCTCGCCTTCACGGGCCCTGCTCGGAAGGCTCGACGGCTGGAGGTCCACGAGACGATCGAGGCGGTAGTTCGGGAGGAGATCACCGGCGTGGGAGCTGGCGGGGTACAAACAGCAGGCACTGGGAACCCACTGGCTGACCTGAAGGTGATCGAAGCCCAGCCCAACAGCTTCAAGTACGCAGGGCTTGTGGACTTCCAGGGTGTGAGAATATGCCAGAGCTTGGCAGGGTACGGGATTGGTGATGTCAACACCTGCCCCTTGCGTAATCTCAGAACCTGGTGAGGAGGCAGCTGCTCGAGGAATGAAGCCTGCTTCTTTGACAGGCCCTCCCTCTTCTCCCCTCTGCTTCAGGATTGCCAGCGGCAAGTTTGTACCCAGCTACATCCCAGAAGCGGCCGACAGGGCGGACCAGGAGGGCGGTATCGACAAGTTTGAGGCGGCAGCCCAGGACGCTGTCGATGCCCAGGGCGACGTCACCTACGGCCTCATCCGCCGCGACCGCACCGACGAGGCCTCCACCTCGCGCCGAGCGCAGGGCGCCGGAAGTGGCGCCGTTCTCGGCCCCGGCGACCAGGAGACCCTGGCCCTGCGCCGCGACCTGACCGCCCTGCCCGAGGTGGCGTCCCTGGACGCCTACGAGGCCATGCCGGTGGAGATGTTTGGCGAGGCCCTGCTCAGGTGCGGTGGGTGGGGTGGGGGTCCAGGGGGTTGCCAGTGGGCGTGGGTTTGGACATCAGGACATGCTTTTTCAAATCAGAACTCAGATGAGCTCGTTACCGTTGTGGCATGGATCTGTGCACGGGCCCTGCCCTACGTCGCTGGGTGTTCTTTGGGCTCCCCACAGTATGGGCATTCTCTGTGCAAGTATGTGCTCCTTTCCCCCGGCTGCCGCCTGCCATGCCTGAGCAGTCGTTGACGAGGCACCCCATCACGAACTCAACAGGGGGATGGGCTGGCGGGAGGGCACTGGGCTGGGCAGGAACCGGAAAGAAGGCGCGGAGCCGGCGCAGCCCAAGGACCTGAAGCGCCGCCCCGCGCGGCTGGGGCTCGGCGCCAGCGCCGCGCCCGTGCCGACCCACAAGCGCCACATCAAGCCCGGGGAGACGCGGGCGGCGGCGGCGGAGGGGCCGGTGGACAACAAGGGCGCGGCGCACATCCCGCTCGCGGAGCGGAACCCGGCAGAGCTGGGCGCCGGGGAGGTGAGGGGTCGGGGTGGAAAGGGAGGAGCACAAAGAATGAGGAGAGGCCCACCAGCCGCCTTGTGGAGGGTGGCACCCAAGGCACTCGAGCTCAGTGTGCGCCATGGTTGCCTCGTTCAGGCCCTGGCATCCGCATGCACACCCCCTGACCACCAGCCATGCCAGCACACAGGCTGCGTGGGTGGTCGTTGGGACCCACTCTGGTCTGGCCTGCACCTTTGTCGGGCTGGAGGCCAAGCGCGAGGGGCGCTCAGGTGAGGGTTTTGGGGTTTTGGGGGCGCGGGGCTGCGACACGCCTGATCTGCTGGTGAGTGTCTGACTCCCCTGAGCATGGTTTGAGCATTTTTGAAGGGCTATGCACCCCAACCTGGCACCCCGGCCGATGCGCAGAGCGAGCCAGGGTGCGCCTGCAGCCCAGCAACGAGGTGGTGGTGGTGCGGGTCTCCGACCTCAGCCTGGCGGCCCCCTCCAGGCAGCGCAGCAGGGGCAAGTGCGATGGCCGTGGCCAGGAGGCGGGGGAGGAGAGGAGCCGGCGGGCGCCAGATGGACCGCAGCTCGGCGATGGCTCACTGAGAAAGCAATCAGACAGCAGGGCCAGGGAGGGCCGGGCCGACGCCTCACCCCCATGGCTCCTGCCAAACATACGGTGTGTGTAGCCTCAGGGTGGACCCCCAGTCTCTGCCTGGGGGGTGGAGGGTTGGGCAGCGGTGGCATGTGCTGGACTCCCCTTCATTCGTTCAGGGGCAGGTCATGTGCGTGCCCGGATCAAGCATGCCCCCCAGGACCCAGATCCTCGCCGGGCGCTGCCGCAGGGTCAAGGTGGTCGACAAACGGGCGGAGGGGGGCCGCGTTTACCTGAAGAAGGGCACCGTCGTGGATGTGGCCATGCCCCGCGTCTGCGACGTGCACCTGGACGACCTTGCGAGGACGGTGCAGGTAGGGGGGGGTGGAGGGGGGCGGAGGACTCTGGCAGTCGCGTGATGCACACTTGTGGTGGGACTGGCGCGGGTGTATGCGCCCATTGCGCCGTCGATGGAAAGGCCTGGCCCTCGCTGCTGCTGCGGACTCTGTGTAGTTGCTCACCAGTCCCCTCCCCCCCCCCGACCCCACAGGGCTTGCACCAAGACCAGCTGGAGACTGTGGTTCCCGGGGTGGAGGGCACCCCAGTGCTGCTCCTGGCAGGCAGGCTGCGGGGTCGGCACGGGCGCCTCCTCCGCCGGAACACAGGCGAGCTCTCTTGGGGGAATGAAGGGCGGGGAGGCTGCCCTGCCAGGGGGCGCATGGGTCCCGCCCGTCTGGTCTGCATCAAGGCAGCATCAGGCCACCCCCCCCCCCCACCCATACTCGCTGCGCAGAGGCGGGGGCGGCTGCGGTGCAGCTGACGGCAGACGGGTCCCTGGTCAAGGTGTCGCTGGACGAGGTGGCCGAGTACGCCGGTCCGGAGCACGATGACGAGTGATCCTGGCCAGCCGTGGCGGTTGGCGGGTTGATGGTGCCGTGCGCTGGGCTGCATTCCATGTGAAGCGAGGCCACGGCCCCTGCGTCCCTGACTGCTGAACACCAAGCCCCGAGCGTCGTGTACAGTGTTACAGAGTGATACTCCACTGGGTGCACAAGGATCTCCCACGTCGAGGTTATTGAAGTGCAGCAAAATTGTGGGGCGATCCTGGCGAGGATGGTGCAAGCGAGTCGGCGACCTGGATTCACCTGGCAGCTCAAAGCCCGGCCTCCTTTGGGGTGCAGGGCCCGGGGGGGCGACGTTATGGGGCGGGGGCGGGATGTCGATGCCACTGGCAAGCCGCCCTCTTGCCACCGCCCAGGGGTGTGACGGGGGAGCCAGGAGGGGCCCGGACCTCGCCGCGGCAACTGCGGCGTGTGTCCGCCCCAGGAGTCGCAGCACCCCGGCCAGCACCGACCCCGCTCTGCAGCCCGCCCTGCTCAGAGCGCGGGGAGGAAGGCTACGGCGACGGTGATGTCGTCCACGTGCGCGCCGTGGTAGACCATGGCCCAGCGCAGGCGTGCGACGTCCAGCAGCGCGGCGGCCGCCTCCTCGGCGCTCCCCGCCGCCGCGGCGATGTCCACCGCCGCCGCGTCGCCGATCCACTGCCACAGCCCGTCGCTGGCCACCACCAGCACGTGGCGGGGGGGTGGAAAGGGCGGCGCGACGCCGGGCCCCGTGCCCGACTCGCCCCGCGGCGCCACGGCGTCGCCCGGCACGCCCGCCAGCGCCTGGACTGCCGCGGGGAAGTGGGCGCGCCCCACGTCGGGCGTGGCGCTGACGCCGATGCTGGACGCCAGCGTGTCGCCCAGCGCGCGGCTGACGGCCAGCCCCGGCGAGGTCGTGTTTGGGAAGCAGACGCGGAAGGGGCCTGGGGTGGGGGCCAGGACTGGAGGTTGAGAGTGCCTGTTCGGGAAGAATGCCACACTGGGCGTTGAAACTCGCGGCGGGCCTGGGGCGATGATGAGGGGCCTCTCGCGCGGCAGCGTCCCGCCCAAGGCTGTGAAGCATGCAGGGAATCAGGGCTCCCATGAGGCTGGCCCCCCCCC